CTCATCGTCCACGCAGGGCAAACAAGCAGTCAACTTGGGGAAAAACTGCAGGAAAAGCCCCAATGAAAATTAGATATGCTCTACCTATGAGGCATTTGGGGGAAAATCTTAAAGGAAATATAATTATTTTCGGAATGATTCATGTTCTTATAACTCAATTATTTTATTGATTTTAAAAGTTCAAAAAAAAAGGTACAAATATTCTGCAATCTTATTTGGCAAACTTTTCACTTATCCCCATACTTTTACCTTCATGTCCTTTTAGTTCCTGCTTCAGGACGTTGAGGAAAAACATTTCAGGGCAACACACGCAGTGGGCCCTATGAAGATTTAACGGTTTTAACGTTGCCAGTCAGCAGTTCGCTTCCAGTCGGTATCGGTGTGTGTGTGGCAAGGGGGCGGAGTGGGCAGAGGTCCTGGACAGGATTCAGTGTCGGTGTCGCGTCTGGCATTATTCGTCGCATGCCCCATGTTCGGTTTCCTGTGCGCCCTGCCATGTCGTCATGCTATCAGAGCTTGGAAATCCGGGAAGGGAAATGTGGGTATGAGAACGCAAGGATACAAGGATACCGGGCTATGGGGATGCAAGAGAACATGGCCAGGACGCATATCGATTTGTTGAGACACAGTGGAAAGTGACTCAGGTGATGCCTTGGCCAACTCCACCTCGTGTTGAGTTCATTTCTTGAAAATTATAATCCTAAAATATATGCATGGAAAATGCAATTTGAGAAACGTGATAAATGGCTCATGATTCTCAGGATCTCATGATTTTAAGTCGTATATTTCCTGGTGGCACATACATATTTGATGAGCGATTGCCCGCCCATAATTAGGCGCTACCACCACCTGAACTCACTCTGACATGTGCGTGCAACTGTGTGGCAAGTGCTATCGGGCTATCTGGCTAGATACCCAGATACGGGTATAGAGCACACTCTGGCCCTCTTATCAGCGGCCACTATCTCCGGGCTCAAAGGCGCAACTTGGCCAAGTGCGTGCGACCCGGTAATAAACGGAGCTCACAACCCGAACCTGTTCTGGAATGGAAAATAATTAAGTTAATGCAAAATTCATTTTCAAATTGTCGGCCCCGGCATAATTGCCACTCACTGCCAGTTGTTTACAATTTTTAAATGCGAAACTTCCAGGGAGCTAAGTGCTGAAATCTATAATTTTTAATGGCCGCGTTTTTCACTCGGAAATGCCAATTGAAATTGAAATAAACTTTTGTTATCTGCTTTCTGGGAACTTTTATATATTTCATTTACATAATAATATATCATATTGTCTTTGTGGCTTTAGTTTTCTAGCAAGGTAACCCTTTTTATAAAACTTTAAGCCCAAGTACATGCATTCGCGGACCAAATTAAGTTAAGACTTAACCATAAATTTGATATCTTAACTGCAAGTTTTCATCTCGTTAACCAGCTTTCGCTGTGAAAGGAGATCTGCGATCGGTGATCCTTTCAACGCGCCTTGGAAGGTCCTGACGATGGACCCTCGTTCGCGGTTTATCCCAACAGAAAGTCATTAAATTCATTAAAAATGCATCAAAATGTATCAGCAGAGGCCGTGTAATTTGGCTGTAATCCATCAGCGTGTCGCCGTCGCCATTGACACCCGAGGGCCCCTTCACTTTACCGGTAATTTTATACACTTAATACTTATACAATATGAACAATATACATATATTGCAAATATGAATTACAATGTGCGCCCCAACATATTAATAAGATGAAGTATGTGAATATGCACTTTCGGCTTGCACCAGGACTTGGCCGAACTGACCGGGACTGGCAAATTCAATTAGGCGGCCGGAGCTGAGACAGTCATGTGCGATAAGTGGCTGCCACAAAAGCCGCAGACGGAGGCCTATATCCTAGCTTATCCTGTGGCCAGGATCTGCACCTGCACCTGCAGATTCATTGTGTGCGAAACGAGCCGAATGCGTAATTTAATAAACTCACGTGGCAACTAGGAGGAGCAGGTTTGGGACATTTGCCACAACGCCTGCCAGCAATTCGGCCGAAACTAGTCGGGGATTAAAAGAGTGGTTTCTGGCTGCTTTTGCTGGCATTTGCGTAATAAAATGCCCAGTTTATTGTTAATTAAAAGGCAGCACAGGACCTGGCCTGGCCCCATAGGCCTTTTGACAGGCCAAAGCAGCTGCTGCCACAGTTCGATGCCAGCCACGTCTATCAATGTAATGACACTGGCACAAACGTGATCTGGCCATCGCCCGAAAGTGTGGAAATTATAATAAATTTTAGCTGAGTTTGGCCCGCAGTTTCTGTTGCCTTGCCGCAATTATGCAGACACCTTGCCATGCAATTGCATATTGTGTATATATTGTATACTGCATATTGCATATACTGTCATATTGACAGCATGATCGATGTTTGCCTCTCAAGCAGTTTTACGTCGAATCGAAATCGATTCGGCAGCAGGAGACTGTGATGAAGGCACTGAAAGAAAACCTACTTCTTGGGAGTTTTGGGTTTATAAGTTACCTTTTTTAAACACTACTTAGTAACAAAAACTTTGCTGCAAGCTTACTTTATTTATAATCATTTAATAATTATATTTAAAACAAAGCTACATATTTTTATTTAAGTGCATTTATTGCCACGGGTGGTCGGCCGTCAAGTGGCTGGACATTAAGATTCGTCCGGCGACTACCGTTGGCCATTTAAGACAATAAATTTCATAAATAGCTTATGCATAAAATGTGCAGTTCCCGCTGCCGTTCCACTACCACCACCACTCTCGTGGCCACTGTATTTCGGCCTGGCTCTCAACTCCCGCTGCGTTGATATTAATTGGACGACATAATTGCGGGCCACGTTGGCCATAATAATGCAGAGTGCGGATCGTGGGGTAATTGGTCTGGAAACACGTTCCACTGGCGGCACACACTCCCCAATCGAAAGCGAACTACTGGAGTTGGAATTTGTATAAATTTGGCAAACATCGGTCCAGGCCAACCAACACACCATCCAAGAGGCCATCCAGGCCATCCAGACCCTCTATATAATTATGGGTTTTGACGGCAAAACGCTAAGGCTTTAGACCAGAGCTGCTGCTTTTTGGCGGCATCGCAATTATCGTTGTGTGTCCGCATTTTAATTTATTGTTATTGGCGCTGCCCTAAATCCAATTGTAATACAATACTCGGCATTTATCATATTTAACAACCGACTCTGAAACGCACACACATCCTGTATTTATGGCCTGCTAATACACGGTTTAAGTTTAATGAGTGCAGCCAGGGATATTCCCTAAAAAAAACAATAAAAGTGCAACAATTGTTGCAAAAAGAACTGAGCTAACATTATAAATATTTTTATTCCATTTAAAGCATCGTTAAATATTTTATCCGTTCGAGGATGTTTTCCTTTTCACTTTGAGTCTGTTTGCTCATCATCAGCCTGAGATTGGTTCGAAACCAGCCAGGACACAGGACATTGTTATGATTATAAATATTTGTTTTATGCGCCGTTCTGGCCGGCTCGAGGCTTTTGTTTTCACTCCACCTTCTGAGAACTTGGAAATCGGTTAAATGGACTGTGCTGTTTATTTTTTTAGTCCTTAATAAGCTCCACGAAAAATAATGGTCGCAAAAAAGAGAAGAAGACGCTTGAGGGTGGATCTTCCCTGTAAGGACATTCGCAGTGGCATGTGTGTGGCAAGGTATGTGAACAAGAAAATGGCGAATTCTGAAGATGGAGCAACAGAGATAAAGCCAGAGTCGCAAAAGTACAGGCCAGAAAACATGTCCTGGTGAAATTGCGCAGAATTATGGGGCAGAAACCGAATATATCCCTCCGACTCTGCCACAAAACTCCCCCCTTGCGTCTTATCCAAGCGGAAAAGAATTATTACGTTGAATTTTCCCAAAAAATATATATATATGGAAAGCAATGGAAAAGAAAACGAAGCAAAAGAATTCTCATTTTTTTGATAGCCGGCCAGGACGATGCCGCAAGGATGCAGAGAAAGAAATGTTTTGTTTCTGAAGAAAGCTTTTATTACAAAATATGTTTCTTAGAAGTTCTAGAGATCCTTAAGCTTCCAACCCTCATTAATCTTATTTAGTACTTATTTTTTAAGTAATATTTTCTCTCAGTGATGGCTAGAATGTGGCAGCCACATCGCCCGGCTCACGTGCATATGACAGTGGAGTAAACAATTTCATTTCGCGCAGCAGGACCCACAAGATAACTGCTACAAACGAGACACAAGATGCTGCAGTGGCCAGGTGGCGGGCGCGGGTGGGAGTGGGAGTGGGCAGGAGCAACAGCAGCAAGGACAACGACAGCACTTGAGTTCTGTTTTCGAAGCTGTCCAAGAACAACAACCACCCGCCCCACCAAAAGCAGCAGCAGCACCATAAGAAGTTGCGTAAATATATTGTCCTGTCGCTTATTCATGGATGGGGGTTGGGGGGTGGATGGATACGGGAAAAGGACTTCGCAGGACTCCGGACTGCGGTCGGTTGGGACCAATTCGAAACTCTCCTGCCAGCGCCGTGGGCGTTTGGACGCAGTTAGTCGAGCGTGCCTGGCGGATTTTTTAATGCGTGCCTCTATAAATTTTGCACGCCTTTTGTAAATGCGAGGTCCAAAAAAATAAAAGGAGGCTAAGGCGATTTTTTATTGGAGAAGGGGGGAGGAGGGGTGAGTGAGTCGTGGGCAGCTGTACACGTGGCCAAAACCGTTTTTCTCTCCCCGGGTTTTTTCGTTTTCCCTCCAGAAACTGTCAAATTGTCCGCTTTGGGGGTTTGTCTCTGTTTACGAAAGTCTTGTATATTTGTCATGCGAAATGTTTATCCCCAATATCTTTTCATAAACAGCCAGGACTAAGGTGCACTTAAAGAAATTTAGTTTGTTTTTAAAAAATTTTGTTTTAATATAGAAAATATATATACATATAGGTTTGTATTTTTTATAGATTTTAAAACTCATTACTAATATGTTCTAATGTATCAGTTTTGGTTTTCAACCGGAGCGATTCTTCTTAGTTTTACCCTTGAAAATTAAATAAAAAATGCTTTAATGATTAATAATAAATATTAAAAAACTCACTTTGAGTTGAGCTTTCTCGTCCACTCCCGGAAAATGCAAATCAAAGTCCGATTGACAAATACCTTCAAACTTGGCCGTATCCAGATAATCGAACCATGTGCGGGACTCCCTTTTATCCTCATCCAAGGGCCTGATCTTGTGACGATTCCGCATCTTAGATTTTTCAGGAGTCACACAAAAGGCTAGAAGCAAGTTGCGGCGAGTGAATCGAATCAAGTAAAAGGGAGCATTCTTGGTGGAATAAGCATTGATCAGAAGCTCCTCCTGAGTGGCAAATGGCAGCTGATCCTTGTTATTACTTTCCTTCTTGGCAACTTTTGCCGGTTCGTAGTCCAGGAGGAGGCGTTGAAAGTCCCAGATGGACAGTCGACAGTCCTGGCCACCCACCACCAGGAGATTGTTGTCCAAACAGAACTCTATGGTGTTGATGTGGCCAGTGTGGTAGTCCAAGTAACGAATCAATCGCCCAAGAGGCATGTCCCAAATCATGATGAGGTTGTCATCGCCACCGCTAACCAAGTAGCGACCACAAATGGAGAAGGTTAAAATAGAGACTCGGCGTTTGTGGCCTCTGAAGAGGCGGATCTGACTGCCATTGATCACATCCCACATCCTTACAGTACAATCGGCGGATGCTGTGGCCAGGTAATGGCGATTCGGATGGAAGAGGCACATTGTCAGCTCTGCTTGGTGACCCTCCAGGATGCGACACGGCTTCCTACAGTCCTGCGCCCAAATCCTGGCCATACCATCATCCGAGGCGGTTGCGAAATAATAGCCTCGTGGGGCGAAAATCACATGGCAAATGGGAGACAAGCTTCCAGGATATATGACTAGACAGCTCCAGGTCAACAGGCACCATAACCTCACACTATGGTCCTCTGAGGAACTGAGTAAATAGCGATCCTCCGGGTTAAAACAGCACGAGTAAACCGGTCCTTGATGGCCCACGAGAGTGCGTCTCGTGTACTTTCTCAGGGGATCCAGCATTCCCTTGTCGATCCCCGCCATTCCGGTGTCCAGCTTTTCCAGCAAACTGGCGGACTTGAGTTGAACCAACTTTGTGGGCTTCAGGGAGAAGACATAGATGGTAGAGGACAGAGTCCCCAAGGCTATAATTGTGTTGGCTTCGGAAAAGGTGGCACACAGGACCACATTATCAGTGCCAGGAGCTGAGTAGAGATAGGCCGAAGGCAAGTTATCCCGATCCAGTTTCACACGATGATTTTCGTCGTTTTTGCGACGCACCAAGCCCATCCTTTCTATAGTCGGACTGTAGATCCTATCGCTAGGAGGAATGTTTATATTCTTTCGCTGTGGCGACTCGTTCCACTTCCTGCGACGTCCCCGCAGTAAGGGCCTAATGGTGAAGTCCCTTTGGTGGATGGGTTCCGGGGCGGCCCAGTAGAGCGTCTCAAGGTGTTGCTTCCCCAAAATGGGTCGCTGCTGCGGCTCCTCGTCCTCGCTGTAGCTAAGAACACCGAAATGGGTGAGAACTTTTTCCTGTTGGCCTCTGGGCCACTCCTCCAGGTGAAAGAGCAGTTGCCGGTAGGCGCCCCTGGACATCTGGAGCTCCAGCTTCTCATAGCCAGCCAACTGCTTGCGAGCCTTGTTTGGTATGTCCTCCAGTCGGCAAATGTCTGCCAACTTGGTCAGTCTGAAGGAGTAGGACTCATCAAGCTGGCAACTCTTGTTCTCCAAAAAATCAATGGCCCGTGACATATTGTCGCTGGCAACCATTTGCAGGTAGGTTATGGCCAACATGGGATACACCATTAGGTGAATCTCGAACCTGTGCTGACTGGGTATCTTGGAAACCATCGTGAAGAGCCGAAGCACAGACTGCTCGTACTCGTCGAATATATTGTCATCCTTGATCACCATGAAGGAAAAGGACTCACTGTTATCCTGCAACGGAATGGGATCCTCGTAGAAATCGTAACCATCATTGTCCAATTCTTTGATGGACTCCTCGTCCTCGGACTGATCACTGGCCGAATCAGAGTCCCTTTCGCTCCTCGTAAGCATCTCCTCATCTTCAAAAATGCCCTGGAGTTGCTCCTGGCTGATTTCACCTGTGTCGACTGGCAGCTCGGACATGTCATCCCAGTAGGTAAACTTCTTCTTGCGCTTGGGAATAACTTCCGAATCAGAATCATCGGAGGATTGGCTGGAGCTAAAATAAGAACTTGTTTCGATATCTGAAAGATCCTCCTCGTTCTCCGAGTCCAACCGTGGGTCGGTTTTATTTTCCGTAGCTTCCTCACTAAAAGTTTGTTTTAATGTTAAGGATGCCTTAAATTTGTACTAAACTTACCTTTTTGGGGATTGTATAACGTCCAGTGGCTTAGGAGTCTCCATCATTTGAAACTGAGGTGATTCCGCTTCATAAAAGGGCATCGATGGCATGGGACTAGTTATAATGGGCATAGAACCATATTCTACAGTATTGTTAATAACAGAATTGGCATCTTCACTTCTAAATGAAAGAAACGGAAAACCATTAAAAACAATTCAATGATGGATAATATAATATTTTTCCTACCCTTTCTTATTCTTTATTTCTTGAGTGTTTTCATATTTTTTATGCATATCCATGGACGAACTTTTAGAGTTTGTTTGCTTAGTATACCACCGGCCTATGGAATTTAAAATCATACAGATATATTCCTACTTTACATATATTTCCTATAGGCCTGACCTTCAAAGTTCCTTGCACCAGTGTCAGAACCATATTCTTCATTATTGTCATTCCGCGAATCTTCATCTTCAATTCTAGAAGACAGAATGAAAAAAAAACAATAAAAAAAAATCTAAAAGAAATACTTACATATTTTTCTTACCCTTCCTCAATCTGCATTTCTTGAGTCTGATCATATTCATTATCCTCATCTGAGGACGACCATTTTGTCTTAGAATACCACCGGCCTAACGATTCTATAATATACAGATATATCATTAAATACCCCTACTTTGAGTATATTTCCTATCAAGCTGACCATCAGAACTGCTATCATCGGAATACCTATTCCGCCGAATACTGGAACTGGTTGACTTTTCCGAATCGCTCTCTTCCAAAGGCTTACTGATACTAGGACTATCATCAGATTCACCAAGTTTCAGGCCCATATGTGACTCGAACTCCGCTAAGAACCATTTATTCAGTTTTGATTGGATGAAATCCTGCTTATCCCTGTTGTCCTTTTTCTTTTTTTTCTTGAGCTTCTTATGTTGTGGTTCGTTAGAATCCGATTCGGATGATGTCATATTAATTTCAGGTAAAGTTTCTTTTAGTTTGTTTGAAGATTTATTTGGTTCTTGTTCATCATTTGAGCTTTCATCAGATTCCGATTCGGTGTCAGTTGACTCTTCGCTACTACTTGAGTCACTTGAAGAGTCAGAAGATTCTGAGGCGTCAGATTCATGACTTTCATCAGATTTATGACTCCCATCAGATATTGGACTTGACGACTCTTCATTATCTGAATCTTCTATAGATTTTGACTTTTCTTCAGATTCTTTCTCAGGCTCCTTATTTTCAGTCAAACTATTTGAATCATCATCAGAGTCTTCGATGCAAATTGGAGTGTTTTCCTCTTCAGCATCATCAGCATCATCCTTTATGCAAATTACCTCCTCGGGACCAGAACCCTGGATATAATAATCCTTTTTTGGTTCAGAGTCGTCTATGTATATTGGCTCTCCGTCGTTATCGTCAATTATGACACCATTTTCATTCAAAGGTTCACCAAATTGTTGGATGTACACACTTCCACTTTCATTGTTTAGGTTTAAAAGCTCTAACATAGCATTAGGGTTGTCGATGTATATTGGCTCACCGTATTGATTTACAATAACTTGCGAGTCTTGGACACCTAATGGATCCGTGTTTTCGTCTAAGGTAACTTCATTGTCGCTATCATCATCCAAAGCGATGATGGGATGGGATCTTTCTTCCAGCAATGTCCGCAGCTGCGCCTCTTTATCGTCTTCTGTGTGATCGCGATCCATATTTACTTAAAACGCTTTTAACCCGTTTTTTAGCTACCAATGCAAAGAAAACTTTTCTGTTTTGACATTTCCCATAAGACAAGGTTGCAATTTCGATAAGTTGTAAGGTTGCCATACTTTAGAATTTGTTGGCATCAGCTCTTCAACTTTGCGGTTGAAAAAATATTGAAATTCAAATTTGAAAATATTTATTTTCCTTTATTTACACTTTCATACCAACGCTGTGGAGGAGACATCTTTGACCCTAAAATGTAAATATATTCTCGAAAATCGAAAAAAATCTAAAAAATATTTTGCCTCCGGATTTTTATGCAGAATGGCGGGGAATCGATCCAGAAATCGTTTAAGGTACTCCGCTTGAGAATCGGATGAGGATTGTGGAAGATATAGCCATCACTGTGGGCCCTATAGGGGAAAACCCCATTTTCAAGGGGTCCCATCATGAAAAATGGACAAAAAAAACTTAAAAATATTTTGTCTAAGGGTTTTGATGCAGAATAATGGAGAATCGATCCAGAAATCGTTAAAGATACTCCGCTTGAGAATCGGATAAGAATTGGGCAAGATATGGCCATCACTGTGGACCCTATAGGGGAAAACCTTATTTTCAAGGGGTCCCATCATGAAAAATGGACAAAAAATCTAAAAAATATTTTGTCTCAGGGTTTTGATGCAGAATGATGGAGAATCGATCCAGAAATCGTTTAAGATACTCCGCTTGAGAATCGGATGAGGATTGTGGAAGATATAGCCATCACTGTGGGCCCTATAGGGGAAAACCCCATTTTCAAGGGGTCCCATCATGAAAAATGGACAAAAAATCTAAAAAATATTTTGTCTCAGGGTTTTGATGCAGAATGATGGAGAATCGATCCAGAAATTGTTTAAGACACTCCGCTTGAGAATCGGATGAGAATTGGGCATGATATGGCCATCACTGTGGACCCTATAGGGGAAAACCCCATTTTCAAGGGGTCCCATCATGAAAAATGGACAAAAAATTTAAAAAATATTTTGTCTCAGGGTTTTGATGCAGAATGATGGAGAATCGATCCAGAAATCGTTTAAGACACTCCGCTTGAGAATCGGATGAGAATTGGGCAAGATATGGCCATCACTGTGGACCCTATAGGGGAAAACCCCATTTTCAAGGGGTCCCATCATGAAAAATGGACAAAAAATTTAAAAAATATTTTGTCTAAAGGTTTTGATGCAGAATGATGGAGAATCGATCTAGAAATCGTTTAAGATACTCCGCTTGAGAATCGGATGAGAATTGGGCAAGATATGGCCATCACTGTGGACCCTATAGGGGAAAACCCCATTTTCAAGGGGTCCGTCATGAAAAATGGACAAAAAATCTAAAAAATATTTTGTCTCAGGATTTTGATGCAGACTGGTGGAGAATCGTTTAAGACACTCCGCTTGAGAATCGGATGAGAATTGAGGAAGATATGGTCATCACCGTGGACCCTATAGGAAAAAACCCCATTTTCAAGGGGTCCCATCATGAAAAATGGACAAAAAATCTAAAAAAATATTTTGTCTCAGGATTTTGATGAATAATGGTAAGGAGTCCATCTAGAAATTCTTAATAGTGCTTCGTCTATAATAAAATTCGAATAAGGATCAGTTGGCCGATCCTTATATGCGATATTTGCGATAAATATCCAATCTTAACCGAAACGATATATTATTGCAACTCCGACCAAAGTTAGCTTTCATTTCTTGTTATTTTTTGTATTCTGATTTAAAACAAAATAATGACACCGCATCACATGAGGGCGCCAGAACCCGGATAGAGCTACATAAAAAAAACCTCGGGATAGGGAAATGAGCGGGTTGGTCGATAGGTAAGACAAAAAAATTAATTTGCATACCCAATATTCAACGGATTTGCTGCTGAATCAAGGTTTCCCATGCCTACCATGAGGGATTCTTGTTATGTGATACCCTGGAAGAGGAATTAATTATTTTCATGGGGTAATAGGGTCTATAGTTCAATGATTTATTCGAAAAGTAATAAAAGCTACATTTGTGACATATTTAATAAATTCATTTCTTGTAGTGTCTAGGGCATGGCGAGGTACGACTACCCGGCGGTCCTGCATTTAGTTATATTTTTTTAACTCAATTTTTAGTGGAATCGCCCGAATATGCTGGCAGACTTTGGAACCTCGGAATTCTCCCTAGCTCTGGCAATATGTCGAGACCGGCAACTCACTTTTCTGGCCACCCAAACGAGATAAAAAGTAAAGTCGAATGCAAAATGAAAAACACAAAATGGGAAAAAACTGGTGACAGGACAACCCGCAGAAGCGAATTTTGTGCTGCATATTGTTTTGTAATTTCGGGCATGATTTATGGTTGTCGGGCCAAAAAGTCTTTAACGGCTTTAACAGCCGATCAGAAACATCCGCGAATATACATATATGGCTATACATGGATGGGTATTTGTGTCAATTGTCAAGGCTGCTGTTAGACGGGAACAATGGCAAACAAAGCCTCATTATGGGATTGAAAGCCAAATCACTTGATATGTAATGCTGGCTGGTCGTAAATAAATCACACTGCCGCATAATCCATTGTAAGTGTCGAAAAAGTGCAATTGAAATGCAAATCCATGCAAATCGATACTTGAATCATCATCACCCAGTCGCAGCAGCAGTCACAGCAATCGCAGCAGCACCAGAAACTTGAACATGAATGATTCATGCAACGCACGCGAGCAACATGCAACATTCAAATGCAAATAATGGCCGAATGCAAAATGCGAAATTATCCAAAAATGCAAATATTTCGAGTGCGAAAATTTTCCAAAGGGGTGCGGCTAGGAAAATCCCGCTGTGAGGGCAACAATCAAATCAAAATAAATGCACCGCACCCCACTAACCGAAACTGCAACAAAGCCGCCAAAAATAAACATGCCACAAACAATGCAACACAACGACGCGGCCGGCGAGGAAGAGTGCTTGTGGATTTTCGCACTTCCGGTTAACTGTTGCTAATTTGATTAGGGAATTTTCAGTAGGCAGGGAGCAGGGGTGTGGACTTCAGAAAGGGGCGTGGCAAGCGAAAAGGCCATAAACATTTTTAGCTGCCGCCGATTTCGCTTTGGCCTGCCAACTTATGCAAATTATCTTGTGTGATTTATGCCCAGAATTTTCTCGCTCGCCAGAGGAGCAGAAACTTTGCTCCTTGGGGTGTTGGCCGTAAATTGAATTTCATAAAATACACTGCAAGTTTATAGAGCAAAAGTTTTCAACTGTGAAAGGGAATACTTTGTATTTCTACAGCATATATTTGATATCCATAATATCCACATATCCATAAAAATAATTTCACACACAAAATAATGAAGCGGAAGCTGCTCTTTTAAAGTCCTTTTTAAAGCTGCCTAACCCTAGCTAGAATTCAAATTCAAATTTGGAATTTATACAATTCAATCATGTCCTGTCATCTTGCCACCAGGAAACTGGTTCTTCTCAACTCTTTCTTCCTGTCGCACATTGTTCCACCCGACGATTGTCATGCTAATTGAGGCTCAAGCAAAAAGAAGGATTCCCAGGACTCCTTCGACCAGGTAGAAGACGCCGTAGAGCTTAGTTTCTCCCTAGACATTGTCGCGTAAAGTGCTCGACGGTAGCCAGTTGTTAAATAAACCATAAAACAAGCAATCAGCCATGGAAAACAAATAAAGCCCACCCACAAAAAATGAGCTGGTGGCTCTGTGGTTTGGGGCTGAGTGGCGGTAGAGATGGACATCGGTAGAGAAACCACAGGCATGACAAACATTAACACGGCCTCTGACGCAATTTAACACCAATTACAATATCCGTTACATCTAATTATTGTAAGATGGCCAAAAGGAAGCCACTGGGCAGGCGGGCGGGCGTCTTGCCGACTAAATTAAAGAAAAACACCGAGGCCAGGACATGGGTGGCGCCATTTGCGGTTGCCAGGACATTAACAATGAGCAGGACGAAAAACAGAAGCAGGAACAGTGAAGGCAAATGGCGGCTATAAAACAACAGTGAACAGTGAGCACAGGACCCATGAAATATGAGCAGGAAACGAAAGGAAAACACCGTCCTGGCCAGGGCTCTGGTCTTGAGTTTTGGGTGGTTGGGGCAAACATTTCTTAATTTCCAACAATTTACGCTGAAAGCTTTCCGCGCTCAAATGACGCACAGACGGCTGCAGGACACCAGTGTCCTGTTCTTTTCTCCGCTCAACTTCTTCATCTCCTTCAAGGCGACGATGATGATCTAACGCCATTATTTCCCAGCCAAACGACAGGCAGTTGTTAATGGGGCTTACCACTTAAGCGCGTCGGCATAAAATAAACACGCGGTCTGCCGCCCCGTCTTCCTATCAGCCCACCAGCCGGATGTCCTGGCAAATTAATTAACATGGCGCTCCATGGCTGCCAGCCATTTTCACACTCAAAACATGGGGATTTAATAATTACAATTATGTTATTGTGGGATTTGGAAATGGTAATAGAATAAGATAACACAAGATAAAGAAGTCAAGAATGAAAATAATAATATTACAATTCTTACTCTTGTAATACTTATAACAATTTCTTTAATTTAATGTTACTTTCCCATATAAAATTTATATGTAAAATTTCATTCACATCCTAAAAATTTTCCTTGTGCATTTTTCGAATAATTTCCTTCAATATACTGTTGTTTTTTTTGGCAGTTTTTTTCCTTCTCAGACTTAATTGTGAACAGTCTTGTCCAGTCCTTGAGGGTATCCTTAAAAAAGACAGAAAAGAATTGTGGGTTTGGGAAAGTTGGCCAACGGCTGTTTAACAATTAAGAAACGTTTAAAGTTGGCCAAAAAAAAAAGTTTGGGGCGCGGCTCTTCTTTGATTACAAGTCTGGTGGATGGCAGGCAGCCTGGCTGGCAGGACACGCAGGATCCTTTGAGGTAAGTCCAGGACATTGAGCATACGCGGCACGTTGTGTGCATCCGTTTGACACCTTTTGTCGGCCCAAAATGGCGCCGGAAATGAGCTGTCCGTACGTGACTTGTTTTCAATGTTTCCAGCAAGTTGGAAATGTAAAATATTTGGTCGCTCAGGGCCGATTGTTTGTTAGCTCAAAAGGGTCAGCTCCAGCCTTCGAGGAAACTCTTTAAGTTGACCCCAAGGCAAGGCACTGTTTAAAATTCCAAATTTGTGCATTCGCTCAATTTCCTTCCATTCCCCAGAATGTAATTACCCAAAAAAGCGAGTGAAAATCTTTCTGATTTGACACGAATTTCAACGGTCCTCCGCCCTCGTCTCCTGCCGGAATAATTAGTGTCCATTGAAGGGGACGGCCCACTGTGGTGCTACGTGCCAGACACAACGCCCTGCGGCAAGGACGAACGCTCCTTCGAGGACTGTCCTGTCTGGCCGGGTCTGGTGTGGCATAATTGCAATTAAAATGTTCGCCGGGAAGTGCAAACACTTTGAGGCAATTGCCGTGCACAGAAATAATAACAGGCAGATTGTGCAAATTAAAATATAATTAGAGACAAACAAGACGCCAAGCAGAGACTGCTATTAAGAAATTGCAGACACTTGGAGAAATTTGAGGTACATTTCCTGTAAGAATAAAGGATCCTTTATATATACAACCAAAATTAGTACCACTTTCTTTCTTCTAATAATCACGATTCACCAAAATCCCCTATCAATAAACCCACTCCCGTTTTCTTCAAAATTACAGTGTATACAGTGGCGCCCACTGGTGTGTGGTAGCCGCGAAATGCCACGCACTTTCCAATGGAAGAAGTTTTGTGTGTGGCTGGAAATTAGCGTGAGACAGCCCTCCTATTTTTTTTTTCCGAGGGTTGAAAGTGGAAGCGAGACGGAGCTACAAAGCAGGACGGAGAGCCCAGATCGAAGACAGCAGAAATACCTGAGGCAGGTGGGATGAGGAGGGGCGGTGGGAGGGCAACTAACGAGCAAGTAATTTTGTGGGCCAACTGAGCCGAACGACCAGCGTCTTTAATGTTTCCTTGACTACTTTAAGCCGCCTCTGTCTTGGCCTTTTCCCATATCAAGTATACGCCACCGTGGCCAGAGGCGTGGGGTGGTTTCTGTCAGGGGGTGGGCCTGTGAGGGTCGTTTTTTCTTGGATTTTTTTTGCAGGCCACACCTTCCACACTCGCAGGGGTGACTAACAACTGAAATTTTGTTGCCGGCTGCGTGCGCCGAGCGTTCGCTTTCACTTTTTTGCTTGCCTGGATTTTCGATAAAAAAAAAAGAAAAAAATAAATATAAATAAAATATACAGGAAAAAAATGGGAATAAAATGAAATAAAATAAAAGCGAAATTGGGATGAACGAAATTTGTACGCTGGCAGTGCCAAGGCAAAAATCTGCTTTATGAAATGTCAAAACTTCAAAGCGAACTCAACTGAAATGCAAGAAAATGAGAAAATATTCACTTGAGTGCGTATGCGCTGTCGCCGTCGACGTCGACGTCGCTGCCGACGTCACATCCCAGCCTGTTAGATGATTTTGTGTTTCCATTGTCCTGCCACCAAGGATGTGAGTGCTGTTGTTGTTGCTACTGCCTGGCTGCTGTTTGAACTGTTGTTGATAGCCTTTATTAGTTGTTGGCCCAAAGCTTAGGCGCTTACGCTTACGAACTCGCCCTCCTCCTTGCCCCCCTCACGAATGTCCTTGGAGGCGAGGATGGCAGGACTCGTGCGCTCTGCAAATATATAAAATGGTTTTTGTTTTTTTTCGTTTCCTTTAGCCTCGTTTACATTCTTTGTTTTCCATTCGTTTGGAGTTTACTTTTTTTGAGTTCCGGCAGCAAATTTTATTAAAAATTTTTATATTAAATCAATTGCGTGGAGATTTTCTCCTTATATTCCGTATTTTTTGGTTGGGGTGTCAGATGTGTTCATGCATAAAGTGGGTACGCCTGGGAGGGGCAGGCAAATACAAAAAATTATTTGGTTGGAAGTCGTTTAACATTTAAGAACTAAAAGAAAACTTTATACAAAATACTACAAAAGGTATTAACAGACGGGTTGGATTAAGAAAGTAGTTGTAATGACAATTAATATACCATAACCCTAATGAATTTTTAAAAAGCAATGGTAAAGTTATTTTCCAACAAAGTCGAAGGTTAAACACACTTTCTAGTACTCTTCATATATATTTCTGAAGACTCGTAGCTCCCATATTTCCATATAGACCCTTGATACCTTCTTTTAATTACCACTGCCTTGATTGTTTTGCTATACACTCCCATTAAGTTGTCAATATTATGACAGCTATACCTGGTAAGACTTTTCAATAAAAGCCACGATTTTCCACCAAGCCAAAACATTCAAGTCCCAACATTAGTTTCGTGTGCTTTCTATAATGTCCAAATTAAATACAAAATTAACACCCGTTGACCGATATTTGAGAATAATTAAGGTTATTCGGTTTTTTGTTGGATTCTGTGGCAATGATGTGGCCAATCCGAACTTTAAGATGTGGTGGCTGACCTATTTGGTACTGAGCGCCATTGGACTATTTTATGCCTGTACAGGATACACAATATACCGAGGAGTGGTGATAGATGGAGACCTCACGATCATTCTGCAGGCCATGGCCATGGTGGGATCTGCTACTCAAGGACTAACTAAGCTATTGGTTACTGCCAACTTGGCACCTTTGTTGCGTCACATACAGTATAGCTACGAGGATATCTACCGGTGGGACTAATAAAATTTAAGGGTCATTTAAATTATATGTATTATTTTTTATATTTCCAGAGAGTATGGCGCCAAGGGCGGGGAATACACCGAGTGTCTAGAGCGCAGAATTAGGATCACCTGGCGACTCATGCTGAGTTTTTTGTGTCCTTGTTTGATGAGCATGGTCTGCATTGTGAGCTTTCCCATATTTTATCTGGTGGTTTATAAAAAGAAAATCATGGTCATGCAATTCTTGATGCCACTAATCGATGAAAATACCGACGGCGGCTACATGATTCTCTCGGCGGTGCATGTGGGTCTCATAGCTTTCGGTGGTTTCGGCAACTACGGAGGCGACATGTACCTCTTTCTGTTTGTGACTAATCTTACTCTAATCAAGGATATATTTTGCATAAAAATAAAGGAACTCAATGAAGTGGTGCTCAAGAGAACCGAGTACGAGCAGATGAGACTATTGCTATTCGATTTGGTGGCCTGGCACCAAAAATATCAAAAGTTTGTATGGATTTTGAATTAAATATGACACTTTATAATCTAATATTTTTTTAAGCATTCTTTTAACAACGAGGAGGATCTATAGCATTGTGCTTTTTGTGCAACTTTCTACCACCTGCATGAGTATGTTGTGCACCATCGCCTGTGTTTTCTTACACGTCTGGCCAGCAGCTCCCATTTATCTTCTTTATGCTGGCACCATGTTGTACGCCTTTTGTGGTCTTGGAACTGCAGTAGAAATTTCGGTAGGCTGGAGCTTCTTTAATCCAAATAAAATATGATAAATACATCCTATTTTATACTTAGAATGACGCCTTGATGAGAGAGATCTACTCCGGTTGTCTGTGGTACGAGCTGCCCGTGAAGGAGGAGAAGATCATTGTCCTGATGCTGGCCAAGGCCCAAACGGAGTCATATCTAACCGCCGCCAACATGTGGCCCTTGTCCATGAACACAGCCCTCCAGCTGACCAAGGGCATGTATAGTTTCACCATGATGATGCTGACCTACTTGGGAATGGAAAAATAATTACAAGAAACCATGAAAAATTGTAATATGTATTAGAAAAGCACCAAATGTATTAGAAAGTCAATATTCTCAATAAAGATTATAAATCATACTAACAAAGATATTGATTTTGTAGTCCCTCCTTTTAGTTCTTTGCAAGTCCAGTCCAAGTTCTCAGATTATTAACCTAATCAATTAAGCAATTGTCACTGAAGAAACACGTGCTCTTTGGGGCTTAATTCATTGAGCTGGCCAATTCATAAGTCCCACGCCAATTAAGACGACAACTACGAGTCGCCTATAAAAGCCACAAAACTGGGTCTAGATTTTCAAAGTCTCATACTGGTAAGCTGCAAGGAAGATGGCTAACAAGGATATCTCCCCGGAAAAGGAAGAAAACGAAGGAGTTTATAAGGATTTTAAGGATCTAAGGCAAAAACTGGATGCTTGCGCTCGGTTTGTGGGCCTGGAGGTCACCATTCCAACCTTTGTGTTGAGCTGGAGGGGTTACTTAGTTATTTTCATTGCCATAAGCTTTGCTGTTGGAGCAGTTTACACCGTTTACAAGGGATTGATCATCGATGGGGATTGGATGGTACTTTTGCAGTGTACGTGCCAGGCCGGAGCCGGAGCCCAATCCATCGCCAAGCTAATCTTTTACATAAAGGATCGGCGATTTCTTTGGGTGATTTTGGACATAATGGATGTCACCTTCGAGCACGAGAGCCGCGGTGACCATTATAAAAAATGCTTGCAAGAGGACTTCCAACGCATCAAGTTTTGGATGAAAGGATTCGGAGTGCTTTACTTCATTGTGGTATCATTATGCATATTGTTTCCTTTTTTCTACTATATCAAGTATAAGATAAAGCTCATGATGATGACATTTCTAGTGCCGGGGATGAATCCGGAAACCAAATACGGATTCTATCTCCTAACCGCCTTTCATACCGTGTGCATGGTGGTCGGAGGCGTGGGAAACTATGCCGCCGATATGTATTTGTTGTTCTTTATTTCATCGGCTCCAGTCGCAAAGAATATCCTGCGCTGCAAGCTACATGATCTAGATGTCAAGCTAGAAGCTTTCCGATCCCACAACAAGATCAGTTCCCAAGAAATCCGACAGGATATGGTCCACATCGTGTCCTGGCATCAGAAGTATTTGAGGTAAAAGATTATTAAGTCTTTAGAGACATCATTTTATGATTAGCTTCCTTTAGAGTCCTTGAATGCTCGGAACGCGTTTTCTTTGTGATTATTTTCGTGGAGATTTCGGCATGTTGTGTGAGCAATCTATCGATTCTGTACTGCATTCTAAGAGGTGACTGGCCGTCGGGAAAGGTGTACATTTTTTTCTCAATCAGTACTTTCATGATGTACTGCACCCTCGGGACCATTGTCGACAATTCGGTAAGTTTTGACTTTGTTGGGGGACTTTTTTGATTACATTTGAGGTCTCCTTAGAACTCTGACCTCACGGATATCGTTTATAATTTCCGTTGGTACGATTTACCTCTTACGGAGCAGCGGACCATGCTCTACATGCTACGGCGAACCCAGGCGACCGCCGGACTCTCGGTGGGAAAGATGTTGCCCCTCAACATGCAGACCGCCTTGCAACTATCTAAGACCACGTACACAGCCCTGATGATCTTGCTAAGGGGCAAGGAGACTGTTGATTAATTTTAGCTCTTTGTCTAATGAACTTGCCCGCAAAGAATTTAATAAACAGCCCGGCACTTTTTATGGGCAAACACAAAAAATTATAATGTCTGTTCGGCCACAGACCATGGAAAGTAGTACTAGAGGAAAAAAAAGCGGTCAATGTAAATGAGGGAAAAGTATGAAAAAGCATCGTTGGTAAGTTGTAAAAATTGTCTTTTAATGCCGCGCAAATCCAGCAGATTGCCACGTAGTGCTAATAAAATAAAGTTATGTCCGGGCATAAAGAACAGAAAGCCCGCACACCAAAATAGTGTGCCACACCACCTCAGAAGGGAACCAACAAAAAAATAATAATAATATCCACCGAAATCCACAAAAAAATGGCGTTGAAAATTGAGTGCGCGGGCGCAGGACGAAATCTTTGGATGGTTGATTGGGAGGGAGTGTTGTGGGGTCGGTAAACGCATCATTAATCAAATGTCCGAAGCGTAAGCACCGTTATTCATCATTGCTTATGGATAAGGTGCCGCCTGGCCAGCTCTGGAAACCCCACTTCATCCCCAGGAGAGGGAAAACTTCTTAAGAAAAACCTCATGAGTTGCCATATTCTTGAGGGGTTCGGCGGCAGTTTGGAGGTTGCATTGGTGGTATCCTTTAAAGAATTATAACTAAATTTAATTTAATGGAGGAAGAAGTTTCTCTAGATTTTCACTACATTTGAAAAAAAGAAAATAATAAAATATTTTTTTATTTGATAGAATTTGTGAGAAATTTTGAGGCTTGTAGAAAATCTATACACACGTGTCCTGTTCGAAAAAAATCCACAAAAAAACGTGTCCTGCAACACGCCGGACTCCCCTGACCACCTTGTCCCAAAAGTTCGCTATTTTCTCCACCCATAATCACTTTCCCAGCCACCCTAATGGCGCATATCAATTTGGCTCAGCCACGTGCTGATGATTTCTTTTCCTTACTTTTTCTCAAAATTTTTTTGTATTTATTTTGTTGTGGATTGCCTATATTTTGAAGAGCTTGTAGAGTATATTTTTGCGGCCTAAAAGTGAATTTGGTGGGGTCCTAGGCTTTTTTATTTGGATGTTGTTGGAAGATCATAAATCAGGCTTACATTGCACAGAATCATCAAACAGGCGACATCCTTCAAGGGCCGACATGGGCAGGAAAGTGTGTGTCTGGGTGGCTGGGAGTATGGAACAGGAACTGCTAATGGAGTTTTTACATTAGAGATTGCTTCCCGTTGACTGGAGGATGCTGATTTTGTTGTTTTTATCATGGCAACAACATCGCAACATCACGATGTTGCTCTAACACCCCTTCAAGTGTCAGTTACATATTGTCGGGACAACAAAACGCTTCACTTTCCATCACAGTCAGCAGAACAACAACAGCCAGCAGGACGTGGAAGAAAAAAAAAATAAAATCACAGGAAAAAAAGGTTAGAACCAAAAAATTTGCATACACAGCAGCTGAAACAGGATGCGTCCTTTTTTCCGTTATTGTTGGTGTTGTGGTTGTCTGTGCAGGAAGTGTGCACATTGAAAGGTTTTCCCATATTTTTTTTATCGCCACGTCTAGGTCCTCTGATTTTTTTCCTCGCTCTTTTTTTTTGGTGGAAAAAATATTGTAGCCAAAGTAAAAATGTTCGGTATTAATTGGCTGGCAAGAAAGGGATGCTGGGCGAACAAAAAAAAGGTGGGATGGGATATGGTCCTAAATTAAATAGAAATTATATGCAAATTCGAATCGAATTTCCCATTAACCCCTTTCACCCCTGGTTTCATATCCACATCACGTCGACGTGTTTAAGTACGCATCATTTGGCCGCCTGCTTGTAATTTAATTGGTTTGGCTTTCGGCCTTCGGCGCTGCGACGCCTTGGCATCCTTGCAAGAGGTCCTGGCAATGAGGCAACTAATTTATGCCATCGTCCTGGAGGGTACGGCCACTTCTTTCTTGGGCTGCACGTGCATCGCCGTCGAGGAGTTGCCTCATTAATTATTATTCTAATTAATAAGACGCAGATGTAAGCAAGATGGAAAAAAAACTCCGAGAAGAAAGGATGAAAAGGAGTGCGGAGCCGGCAATTTGCATATGAGTGACACAACAGGACATTTGCTTCCTGTCACGAAGAGGACACAAAAGAGGCGACAGGCACGTTCAAAGGAGGCAGGGCGAAGGGTCTGGCGACCGAGGCTGCTCTCCAGGACCAAATCTCATGCATAATGCAAGTGCAAAAGGCGCGTGAGAAACTCCCAGGACGAAAATTATAGTCCTGCCACAGACAAGGATGCTTTTCCTGCCAGCTGCTCCTCTTAGAACCTCGAAAACCTGACTACAAAACTAGTAAAAACACTGTTGAGACAACCTCAACAGGTACTGGGGTATTACCAATCAATCCAATGACGCCCAAACCATTTGCCAAATCCCTAAAGTCCTCTGGTAAATAGTCCTTAATCCCCGCCCCTAACCGATCAACCCCGATCGATTTGCCGGGGACTTATCGCTTTCGCAGTGCCATTTGCCAAAAATTACCAGAGTCAAATGTCAAAGCAATTAAGTCGCAAAATCGAATCGATTTTCAAGGGGTCGCAATCCCCTTTTGTCACTGACATTATCGTTGTTATGTTTGCTAATTCCCTCTTTGTTGTTGGCCCTGTTTGTCCTGTTTGCCATTTCACTTTCACCTTTCGCTTTGTTTGCCAATTTCTTTCTTTCTTTCTCGAGGGTCGAGGGTTAAAAGTGTGCCAATTTCGGGTTGACTTTACTAATTATGAGGTGAAGTTATGACAGGCCGGGATTACACGAGTAAACAAAAACACTTCAGTGGCTTTCTTTTATTAATTAAGGGTGAAGGTTGGCGGTGAAAAGTAAGGAAATTAATATTGGAAGAATTAATAGAAAAATGGGAATTTCTCTTTCTAGAAAACAACAATAATTTTGTGTATTTTATTGTATTTCAAAGGAATCTCTTTAACTTGGACTTCAGCTGTCGGCGGCCTTTGTTTTCCGTCCATTTCAATGAAATTCATAAAAACAATTTCCTTTATGGCAGCAGCCCCTTCCCAATTCCTTTTTTTTTTTTGGCGTTGCTGGGAGTCCAGGCTCAACGAAATTGGTTTTTAAAAATATTTCACATTTCAATCTCCCCCAATGCGCCGTGCCACGTTGCTTTCTATCTCTCTACGGAGCACCTTGGCCAGAAAACTTATAATAAAATCGTGGCAGTGTCCTGCCTCCTGTGGGCGCGTTTACAGGACGACCAGGCACCAGGCCCCAGGAACAGGTAAACGTAAAGGTGAGCCGCAGAGAAAAGCCACAACAACGGGCAAGTAAAAAGGAACCGCACATTGTTGGCTTTTTACTGTCCCCACAAATAACAATCAAAATATCCCTGCCACACCCACATGCCACAAGCTACTGGTTGCCACTGGGGATGGCTGGCCTGTGGGAAATTGCCGCAAGTCCTGGCCAAGTCCTAGGATCTCCCCAAAGGCTGTGTGGAAATTACAGGTGCCTAATGCAAATTTGTGTGGCATATTTCTCGCTGCCTGTGCCTCCAAATAAAAATAAAACACATTATGCTGAATTCGCGGATTTTTTTTTGGACGAGTATTATTTTTCCTTTCTGAGCCTTCAGTTTCTGATTTGGATTTGGATTTTGATTTTGAGTTGCGTTTGGGTTTGCCTTTGCATTTGCTTGATTGTCATCATTGAGGCTGAAAAACAGATTTGCCTCCAATCAACGTGGCACTTAATTTCGTTTATTTGATTGGATTTGTGTTTACATGGCTGCCTCTCGTTTTCTCCCGTTTTTCGAGTTGTAAGTAAAAGGAGGGCAGGATGGGTGTGCTGGTGGGTGGCAGACGGACCAGACATGTGGATGGGTGGGATGACTTGTTAGAGGACCGAGCCGAAATTCGTTGCAAATTAGAAAATAAAATCACTTTTGGCCGGACTCACACGCCGACGGCAAAGCCCACCCACACACACAAATTTATGAATATTGAAAAATTAAATCGACATTTTCTCTTGCGAAAAATCTCACACACCCTCAACAGATCCTGCAAAAAAAAAAAAATATATATCAAGCCCAAAGAGAGCAAAAAAACATGGCCTCGGAAGTGGTGCGTCGCTTTTTGTTCTTCTTGTTGTTACTCAGCTTTTTTTTCGACCATTTTTCCAATGATGGATTTTCGAAATTTTAATGGTTGCTTTCGCTGCTTGGATGATTCCAGAGTCCTGTGAGTCCTGCAACTCCTGGGTAGCCCTGGGTAGTCCCGGAGTCAACTTCGTCAGCGTCGTCGTCTGGTTTTGTCAGGCGGGGGAGAAATTTTTTTGCCCGCGAGGGGTGGATTCCTTGGCCCATGGGTGGGTAGTTTTTTTTTTTCTTTCCTCTCCGGATTTTTATATTTTTTTCTACTTTTTTTCTCCACAGTTCACTTCCTTTGTTTGGCAGCCATTGAGGGTGTGGGCCGATGTGGGTGCCAAGAGCTTAAGGGATGGAATCGATATTTGTTTTCCCTGCCAGCAAAACAGAAACAGCAACTGCCAGGACACCCAGGAGATACAACTACCCCACCCACCCATCGGCTTGCCCACCATCGATGCCCGCCTAATCCAATGTCTCAGGAGCTTCGTCGTCCTAATCAATATGCGCAAATGATAATTTTTAATGGCTTCCGAGCGCGTTTGTTTACCATCCAGGCAGGCCAACATTGCTGATTTGGCCAAAAGCAGTGGGAGAAAATCAGGCTAATAATGGCTTAAAGGCTAGTAAGCTTTATAGAAAATTTGTGGCTAAACTATAAGGTTTTTAGGGTTTTTTGAGCTATATTTTAGTTCTTTTTAAATCTTAACAAACTTGTTAAATTTTCTTAAATATTTTTTTCTCTGTACACAGCCACCTCTTGGTAAATTTAATTTCCAATCGCCGCCAAACGTCAGCGTCAACCTTAACGGAAATTTAATTTCCATGCCGCCCAGACCAAGAAGATAAAAAA